TCTGAGAAGCAATAAAAGTGCTTCAAATTTCAAATAATTTCAAAGTCAAGAGTAGAAAAGTTAACGAAAATTAACAGAAGAAAAACTGTTGATTTACAAAATGTCATGGAAGCTTTAATAAAATAATTTATTCGGGTATATGGGATATGGATATCTCCAGAGAGGTCATGACATATAAAAGATATGGGATATTGTATTAATCAAATATTCTATGGACCATATATTTTAAATTTAATTATAAATAATAATGTTGTACTTTGTATAATAAACCTGATACTGCCAAAACAAGTTATCAATATTAAATGGATTTATTAGGAGAAGAGAGAATGTCATATCTCTTATCTCGTGTATTTTGAATTATGCAAACAAAAAAACACAAGATTCTTACTTTGATGTGAATTTGCAGAGAAACAAATATTTATTACAATGACAAAAATATTTTTCACAATATACAAATTGTTCAAATTACAAAATAAGCCTTGCACAAAATTCCCCTTATCCACTTTAAATTATCAAAGCATGTTAGAAGTTCATGTAAAGCAAATGTTTTCCCTAACAACAAATGAATTTTAATAACTTTCTTTTAGAACAACATTTCATATAAATCAATTTCTTAGCAAACAAAAGAAATTTACACTCATTGAAAAGTTCACAATTCAAAATGTCACAGGTTCAAAGGCAGAAAATTGAAATTCGGTGAATGAGAAAGGGTTCAAAATTGGCTGTTTTTTTAAATATCAAAGCTGGGCCATCCTGTAAAGTTTTTGCCACAGAAAATTTAAATTGTATGGCTTCATTTTGGTGAGTTTTTATAACATCAATTTGGAGCCTTTTTTCTTCAAATCTTTACACATCAATTTTCATTGATCATCGGTTTTCATTCATGTTATATATAAGGGCCATCTTGTATATATAAACTGTTTGGCTTCATTTTGGTGGGATTTTTGATAAAGAAACTGTGTCAATAACATTTTAATTTCCTTTAATTAGTTTTTAATACAGTAATTTTTTTTTATATTAAAATAGTTTCTATATTAATTTTTACACAATTCCAATATTTTCATTATTTTTTTCTCATACAATTTTAACATTATTATTTTTATTAAAATAATTTTTAATTCTATTGTCACATTCAATTTCTATTTAAAACCAAGTAATTCAAATTTGCCTTCCTTGACTATAACTTCCAGTTGGAGAAATATGATAATAAAAAAAAAAATTATTATCATTATAAGTAAAAATTTCCAAAGGAAGTTCACATAAAACGAGAAATAAAAAGCATTTAGCAGTTTGGTCTTAATTAGTAAGGTTATTAGTTATGATAACATACAGCATGTTTGCAAGTGGCATTAAATCATGTTATCATAATAATGGAATATCTTCTTAACAATTAATGAGATTGTTGCAACAGAGCTATAAATAAGCATGAAATATATAGTTGTATTTTACATATATTAAGATAAAACTAAGTGGGCTTATAGTGTAGTAGTTACTGGTGCAAAAAGTGCAATTGTCATGCTGAGTTCAGATTCAGCAGAGTTCATTGAATTTGGCTTCACAAATGCCACTGGAAAAGTATGAATCTATCTCTCCCTCTAACTATGAATTAATAGCAGGGAAGACTGGGCTCTTTAGCCTTAGTTGGCAACCAGTCGAGCAAAAGGATAACTCTGGTTTCAAAACTAGTTGGGTATAGGTTTGTCAACTCCACCCTATAAAAACCTACCTGCTAAAGAAGCCACAGCATCAATGCCGAGGGTGATAAGGCTGTGGCCCTATACTCTACAGAAGAGCCTACAGAATTTGTATTCATCAAAATAAAACCAAAGATAAAAGTGAAATCCCCATGTTGAATGTGAGGTATTTACTGCTCATCCCTTAAGCAAAAGAAATAATACTGAGCTAAATCACAAGAATTTCTTCAGATTAATTTAACATTTTCCTTTTTAGATTGGCCATTTGAAGATTGTCCAAGTTTTGTCAATTAAACATTATCTTCTCCTTAAAGCAGTCTAAGAGGAAGAAATGTTTATTTTATTGGAATATTTATGCATTATTGTTATATTCCGTGCTAATAGGAATATAACAATAATGCTTTAACAACAAAGTGGATAAATAAGTAAAGGTTTATTGTAGAAAGCAGTACAATAAGAAATAAAGGTAATGGTTATGTGCACGATCATCGCAAGTCAATCCAGTAGTGAGTGCTACTATTGGAAGGTTGGTAGTTCTCACATAAGTCTGAGTCATACTCAATAGATCCCAGCTAAACAATATTTACTACCCCCCCACACACAAATGAGGGTAGATGTGGCACAAGGCCGAGTTTAATGTGAGTCATCCGAGCCCTTAGGCTCGGCCAAAAATTCACATAGAACCTGTATAAATGGGTTCAGGTCTGTCTACCTTCCCAGACGAGACTATGCCCTTTGGCATAGCCTTGTCCAGGTTCCTCTCTGGCAGAGAGTTTGACCAGCACAGCTCGAAAAGATTCCAGCTAGGATATATGCCAAACGCCCCACGCAGTCAGATGCTGCACAAAGCCAAATTTAACGTGGGGTATCCAAACCTGTAGGCTTGGGCAAAAATTCCCCATAGACCCTGTAAAAAAGGGTCGGGTAGCTGTCTACCACCCCAAATGAGACTCTGCCCTTTGGCATAGCCTCATCTGGGTTCCTCTCTGCCCGAAGGCAGAGAGTTTGACAGTACAGCCGAAAAAGATTTCAGCTAGACAATATTTACTACCCCTCACCAATAGGCTCGGCCAAAAAATCCCCATAGAATGAGATCGGGTTGGTCAACCTCCCCAAACAAGACTCTGCCCTTCCGCAGAGCCTCATCTGGGTTACTCTCTGCTCAGAGGCAGAGAGTTCGACCTGCAAGCCAAAAAAGATTCCAGCTATACTCCCGTAGTCTGTTAACTTACCAATACTTATAGATAGTTGCTATCTATAGTGTAGTTACTCATGGGGGTGATAGGTTATTCCATTGCATCAATTTTGTAACTATTACTCTAGACTTTAGCCTTTGAATTCAAAATTAGAATAACATTAATCTTTTTGCATGTATTTTACAAACACACTACTATACTTACTGAAACTGATGGCATTTTCTTATCTGTACAATTGAGCTGTACTTTGAAACATTTTTTGGCTTTTATTTATTTACTACCTTAAAAGCCCTCCTATTGGGCAGCATTTAAGCTAGCTCCTGCAGAGGGCTCATGATTGGGCCTTCACCACAATAGGTAGATGTGATCGGCAAGAATCAACTACAGAAGGACTCAAAATTGATCACTGCATTTAAGTATTGCATTAATATTTAAGCTTACCTTTTAAAAGTTCAACAATAATTCTTCTGTTGCCACTTAATTTAAAGACAATTTGATGTATGTAGGTTCTTACTTTCAATACAAACAATAATTTTTATTTTATGGGTGACTTTTGATGGATTTTGTGGTTAATTTTAATTATTCCCAAATTTATTTCCAACTTATAAAAATTGTTATTCTACCAAAAATTAGTCACAAAAAATCACCAAAAATATTTGCTGAAAACAATCACAGTAATGAGAAATTAGGAATCAAAAATTCCAGGATTGTGGGTCCAGATCTGGTCCAGAATGTTTTTAATTTGCTCATGGAGTCAGCCTGATTAAAAACTGGTATATGTTGGGCTACAGCCTCTAGGAGGAAAGCTGAAAAAGTGTGACACAGTGACACACTGACATTTGCATTTATTATATAGATATTTTGTGGCCTTTAACCAGACAAAGCTTCGTGTCAGCAAATAGTATTTAAATTTGAATAATGCACCAAAATATTTTTACCCATCAATAATATATTTAGTGTAACGACCCCCCCCCTTTCTTTTTTATTTATGTTTTATGCCATCATGTCTCTTCAGGGCATAGGCAGTCATGGCTCTCTGCAAATTACTTATCTTTGAATTGTCATACCTTCTTAGAAAAGATAGTAGAGTGATTTTCTGTTGCTTTCTCCACAGACACCATCAGAGTCATCCTCTTCCCAGAATGGCTGCTCCCAAGGCCAGAGAGGCATGTTTAATTTGTTAACCCATAGTTTGAAGGATGGGTATATACCTTTTCTAGTGGTATTAATGCAAAAATGAATGCAGCAGATAGAGATTTGAACTCTACTCACAGATTCCACTTTCCACAGAAATAACAATTTTGCCACTTGCTGATCTATTTTCTTAGATTTAGCTATAACTAGCAGTATAACCTTGTCTTTGAACTGGTCTTTCATTACTGGGAATTTTTGCTGTTTAGTTGGAGCAGTTTAAGTTTAAAGTCAGCCCACCTGAAAATCAGTATTAGTAACAATATTTGGGTGCAACTGAGGCACATCCCTAAATGAGGGGTAACAATTTGAAGGGGGGCCTGAAAAGGGAACTGTATAATAATAAATAATATCATTGTAATAATTTAAACTATTTATTTTTATTAATGCTTTTATGAAAGATATATATCCAAGAACAGATAGTAAATAGTAAAATGTTGTTGAGAGTTATAATGGACAGGAAGTAGTGGAGAGCCATTGTCACCAACAATTTGGACTCAAAACTGGCACTGAAGAATTATCTATCAAACAAAATTTTCATCAAAATCGGATGAAAAACTGTGGAAATCCATAAACAACATCTGATCATACGCACACATACATACACACTTGCATTTTGAGAATTATAGATATAGATTGACAAGAAAAGTTTTTACTGATAAAAAAAACTTTTTTTTTTTTTTTCCTTTTTGAAATATTCTTAGTGTCTACTTTGTCATGTTAATCTTGTTTTAGTTTGCTTTCTCTTTCCTTTTTTATGATAAATTCATACATCATATTTTTGTTTTCTAATAATAAACTAATCAAGGCCACCATAAACTCTCATCCAACCAGAATGATTTAAAGAAGCAGCAAAAGTTTGCTTAAATTGATCATAATGAATTTCTATTAATCAAAAATTTATTTAATCTTTTTCAAGATTCACTTGATATTACTTCGTCTTCTTCAATTTTGACCGCAAACTCTGTGTGGGGTGCTCTCCATGGATTAGAGACTTTCAGCCAGCTGATTTCTAAAACTCACAATGGAATGGTAAGTTTTTGATACTTTAAGATTCTTTCAACTTTTTTTTTTTTTCATACAAGTATTACAAGTTCTTTTTTTTCAACACAGATTTAAGATTCTTCTTTTATGTACTGTATCCCTTCAAGACTTGGGCGATCATGGCTCTCTTACAACTTTCTCTCTTTTGTTATTCTTAGCAATGTTTGTTCATTTTTTTTTGTTTTTTTTTTACTATACCTCCCACTCCATTTTCTGCCATACATTTACACAAGCTTGTTAGGTTACTCACTGTTTCCCTCTGTCCCTCTTATCTTCACTATGCCTTGTGAGTGTCAAATTCTCCAAACCCCCTTTTCCCATTATATGACCTAGAAATTTCATGTTTCTTTCTAATTCTAAGTATAATGCCTTTTTTTTGCTTCCATTTTCCATAAAATTTCCCCATTGCTCACATGTTCCATCCATTTTTAGCATTCTTCTATAGAGCCACATCTCTGCTGCCTCAAATCTCCCTTATCTTAAAATAGTACTTTTTAATAAAAACAAGTAAAGAATATGTTTTTTATTTATTTAACTTTTACATCAGACAAGTTATTATCCTATATTTACTTGCAATTTGAAATCAAAGAAATACTAATGATTTTCCTTCTGCTTTGTAATTTGATATCTAAGCTCTAAAATTTTCTGATGGTTATGAACTGGGCCATCAAATAACAGATGATTTCAAGTACAATGACATTCTTACTTACTTTTACTTTACATAAGTAAAGCATGCCATGTCAAATACATAAAGCATCTTATTTTTGATTGACCCTTGAATTCTGACAAAACTTTTGCAAATTGTTTGAATAAGTACATTTATATGAATATAAATAAATTCAAGAATTCTTATATAAGATGATTCTTTATGCTTTGAATAATGAAAAATTGTATAACAATTCACAATTGGAAATTCTATTAAAATAATAGCATAAGAATAATTATTTTGATGGATACACTTTGCCGCCTCCGTTTTTTTTCTTTTTTCTTTACTTTAAGATTACATGAGAGTGACAGAATTATTAATTAATAAATAAATAAATAAATATTTATTTTATGATTGTGATAATCATGCAAATGGTAATAATTACTTAAAGACCTGTGGACAAAGCTAACCTTGTGTACTGCATGTTTCAGTCAATGTACTTCCAGCGCTCCTGTTTAAGAGATTATATTGGCCAAAACCTGATAAAGACAACAGACAAGTAAATTAATTGAAATGAATCAATGTATGATTAGAATTCCTTATCAATGAAATTCAGACTGAAGGACAGCCAGAGAGTATAGTGGCCAAAATGTTGTGATAAAAATAATAAAGATGGTGAAAGCAGCATAAAAGATACAAGGCACAACATTCTCTCTCTCTCTCTCACTCTCTCTCTCACTCTCTCTCTCTCTCTTTCTCTCTCTCTCTATTTTCACTCTCTCTCTCTCTCTTCATAAATTTTACTTAATAATAGTTTAAAGCAGAAGAGTAGCAATGACAATTTGGATAAGCCAAAGAAAATCTTCAGAGTGCTTTCCTTTAAGTGAGAAGGTGAAGGTTCTCAAAGAAACAAAATGACATGTTGAGGTTGCTAAGATCTACTGCAAGAATGAATCTTCTCTCCATTGAATAACTTTTTATTACAGCATATTACCATATATTTTATTGCAGCAATAAAAACAGGTATAATTAAAAAAGTAAACAAAAGCAAAAGCCAAATTTACAATAGTCTGTACAAAAACAAAAGCACAAAATGAGAGAAAAATGGAGAAGGGAGTGAGAGAAAAAAAACAATAGAATGAGCTGTTGTGCCTCCTTTGTCAGAGCTTGATCATGGTAAATAAATAAAATGACTGTACACACCAATAAAAAACAAACATGGCAAAAGAAAATATGCACATCTCAATAATATATTGAAATAAGTATATGTTTCATAAGATCACATTAAGTCCACACAACCAATCCTTCTGTTTGTACAGGGATGTTTGTTTTGATTTAATAAAAAGAACTTTTAGATGGTAGCTAAAAAATGCATAAAACTGAATATGTCCTTATAGATAGATGAAGCACGTTCTCATTTTTTGGGTATTTTTTTTAAGTGTTCTGCAATTGCTCATTCTTTTTGTTTCTCTCTTACCCATTTTTGTACTTTCATTTTCATACCAGCTAATTTAGTTGTATTTTTTCCTTTTGTTGACTTTTTTTAATTATCTGTCATAAAATCTTGTACCTCTCATACAGTTTTCAAATTGTTATTGTTCTATTATTTTTGTAGTGTTGTAATCTTTTATGATGCCTCTTCTATAAATTAAACTTTATCATATATAAGGACATCTAAGAAAAGCCATAATACTGAACAGTAATAATCTCTGGTTTCAAATATTTGCTGGTGCTTTGGAATGTTTTCACAAAGATGGAGGAACTACTGTATTCAATACATAATGTCATCCCCAAATCACTAATTAGCATAGCTGCTATTATACATTGATTCATTCAGATCAGTTTCTTTGACCTTATTTTTGTCACAATGTTTTATTCAAAGCATAACAAAAAATACAAGTTAAAAGAAACAATCCAAATAAATGTAAGATAATAGAAACACCTAGCTTTAGAAATTCAAACTGAAAAAAGGTCAGAGAGTACGTCAACCAAAACATTGTAATAAAAACAACAAAGACAAGGATACAGGTGTAAATTGATCAAGTTACCAGGACTTATGTCTAATTCTGGTAAAATCCTTTGCTGTCTTTTTTTACTTAATTTACATGCCAGAAGGTAATAACTAACAGTTTTATGTATAAATCTAACATTTACTGTTGGCCATTTTTATGATCTGACAATTTAATATAATTCTTTTAATTTTTTAAGCCTTGTCCAAGCTTTCAGGGCAGTTTGATTTTCCTTTTGGGATTTCAACCTATTTGTAAACTTTATGAAATTATACCAATGTGTTTATATTTAAGCCGTAAAGAAGTGTTTGCACATATCTTAAACTGCCTGTGAACCTATGGATTTTGCAAACAGAAATTATTACTACCCAATAATTAGGATTTGGAGGGACAGAGATATTAAAACATTCATTTATAGCATTCTTCTTTCTTTTTATGTGCCATGTCCTTTTAGGACTTAGGCGTTCGTGGCCCTCCACTTCCCCCTATCCCTTGTGGCTCTCAACAGGTTTTGTGTTTCTGCCAACTCTTCCAGACCACGCTCTGCCATCCACTTGGCCAAGCCTGCCACGTATGTCATGCACTGCTTTCCTCTGTCTCTTTTTTCCTCTATCGTCCCATGAGTATCAGATTCTCCAGGCCCTCCTTTCTCATCACGTGTCCCAGAAATTTGATCTGCCTCTTCCTTATGTTAAGCATAAGCTTCCTCCTTGTTTGCATCTTCTCCAAGACCTCATCGTTGCTCACGTGCTCGATCCATGATATCCTCAGCATCCTTCTGTAGAACCACATCTCCGCCACCTTGAGTCTCTCTTCATCCTTGAGGATACTGTCTAACATTCGCTGCCATATAGGATGACAGATGTCATATAGCAGCTCAGTACTCGACCTGCAAATTGCATTTTGGGCTCATCCTTTTACTACTTTTACTGATGACCATGCATTTTGTCTTCTTGTAGTTTATGGTTAGTCCTTTCTTCTCGCTCTCCCTTGCTACCTTCTGTAGGAGGTTTTGTAGTTTTTTTCTGTGTCTACTATCAGTACCATGTCATCTACGTATCTTATGTTGGTAAGCTTGTGGCCGCCAATGATGAATCCTGGTAGGATCTCCAATTCTTTCAGAATTGCCTTGTTGTGTAGGTTGAATAAGTCTGGTGAGAAGACACATCCTTGCCTTACACCTCTTTCTATTTTTGTATATTCGCTGAGCTTATTCTTGATGTGAATGCATGCTGTTTGCTGCCAGTATATGTTCTTGATTATTCTGATATCTTTCCCAAATATATCAAGGTTGCTGAGCAGTTGTTGTATATGATATATATATATATATATATATATATATATATATATATATATATATATATATATATATATATATATATATATACAGTAAAAATTTGATATCCTTTGAGATGTAAATATCACAGAAAGTACATAATTAAGGCAAATGAAATTAAAAAGTATTAATGTTGAAGATCATAAGATTTATTCTTCCAAATCTGAATGAGAAATTCAAAAGCATGTGGATTATGTGAATGATTTCACAAATGTTCAATATGCACACCACCTGAGACACAGCATTTTTATACCTGTAAAGAAAAAGATTAAAGATTAAAGAACATAAAAATACAAATAAGAAAAACATAAAGACATAAAAACATAAAACAAACATTAAACATAAAGATGCTATTAAAATTTGAAGTCATTTGAACGAGAGCTAACAAAGTTATTACATTGCGAAATGATATCAAATTTTTTGAAACACCCTATATATATATATATATATATATATATATATAAGAGTCTATGCATTTTTAAGTTTTTAATTACTTAAAATACTCCTTTATCTTTTTATTAATTTAATCAAAATTTTTGGAGTTTTTTTTTAATTTTAAAATTTTTATAAAGAATTTCTTTTATTTTTTTTAAATTGATATTATTTCTTTATATTTATATTTTAATAATATTATTAATATTTTTATTATCATTATTATTATTATTATTATTATTAATTGTAGCAGGTCCTTGTGGTGTACTTTGTCAAATGCCTTTGCGTAGTCTATAAAACATAGATACATGTCCTCCTACATCTGTATTGCTCTTTCTGATAACATGCTAAGCATGAATATTGCATTCCATGTTCTGGTGTCTTGACGAACCCACACTGTTCTTGTCTCCTGACTCAATTCTGCTGCGTGCTCTATTCATCAGAATATGGATGATGAGTTTTGTGATGTGGCTCATTAGGCTGATTTTTCGGTGTTCATTTGTGCCTGGTTTCTTAGGTAGTGCTATGAAAATAGATCTGCTGATCCAGGCTCCAACTTTTGCTAAGGTTAAAATATCCTTTCCACAAACAATAAACATGAGGACTTTTTGATTACTTATTTCACAGTTAGAGCTTTGTAAAATCAAATAACATCCACTCAAAAGTCAAGACAGAAGAATAATTTTCTAATATTATCAAATATTGTGATATTCTCTCTCTCTCTCTCTCTCTCTCTCTTCTCTTCCCCTCCCATTGCTAGTCTCTGCACCATCTCCTCCTGTTTTCTCCCTCCTTCCCCCTCCCTTCTTTTTTCCACAAGTACAGGATGTGGTAGAAATACCTCCCACAAGGCATTAGTGGCAATAGTGTCTTATTCTAACTAAAATCTTACAATTATGTGGGAGGTATTTCTGCCGCATCATGTATAATCAATTCGTAAACAAGTCACTGTTTAAAAGGCTCTGTATTGATTTTTTTTATATTTTTTCAGTGCATTTAAATGTATAATTTAATAATAATAGATGCTCATGAGTGCTACTAGTTTACATAAACTAACAAAGTTGTTAATATATTTTACATGATTCAAAATTAATTTCTTTTCTTTTTTTTCAATACTAATGTTCACTAATAATTTTTTCTTTTCCTTTTAGTATGTTGTTAATGAAACTTCAATTGTTGACTTCCCAAGATTCAAACACAGAGGATTACTCTTGGACACATCAAGACATTTCCTGTCAAAACAACTTATTCTACAGAACTTGGTAATGATGTATTTATTTTGCAAAAATATTCTTATATAAAAAATATGTAGTATTTTTTTTTCTTTAAAAGAAAGGCATCATTATTTTATACATAAAATTAATAGTGTTCTATGAAAAATAATCTTATGATTTGTTAAAAATAATTGTTTCAATTGTTATTGAAACCATAAATTTTGTAATTTTGTTCTTGTGTTTGGTTCAGTTTGTGCATTGTCTGAATTGAATTTCACCCTTGGTTTTCTCTCGGTTGTCAAAAGGCTAGATTTTTGCTGGTGGAAGACAATTTATATGGAGTCAGAATTAAGTGATTGTCAGCTCCACCACAGTTAAAAGTAAGAATAGGAAAAAAAAATTAAATAAACACCTTATTACAGAGACAGCAATTTATTCTCTTTCTCTTGCTCCTGTTGCGGGAGTATGCTGGTGAAATGTTTAGGTGGAAAAACACATGTCTCCTGGTATCCCACAACAAAGATGACAGACTCAGTATGTGAGTCTGGGTAATAAATGAACAAAGTAACAACAAAATTATGTATATAAATAAATGATAATGTATGTAACAAGGATACATATTGACAATAGAATATTGTTGCATGTTACTGAACAATGAACATGGATGAAAAATCATTTAAACTAGTGAAGGTGTTTGTGTAGAAGTAATTGTAACAAGCACATGAGATAGACATGTGTATATATGCATGTGTGAGAAAATTCAAAAGACAACAGAAGACCAAGGGAACACTGCCACTGAGGTGCATTCGCTTCCATTGTAAATTCTTACTTCAAGTTTAATGTTATTGTGTTTTGTGTTGATTAAATCACTTTTTTCATTTTGTTTTCTTTTTGTTGTTTTATTTTTTTAAGTACATAGAAATAAAGCAGTTAAGAAAAAACAGAATTTTTTTTTTTCATCTTTTGAAAGTAAAATGAGACTTGTAAGAGTTTGTAATAATTGCAAAGAAAATCACTAATATAAAGAATAGAATTCAAAGTAAAAATAATAACTTGTAAATGTAATTGACTGGGATTTTACCTAAGTATATACACTACTTATGCTTAAATAAAATATGTAAAGAATTAAACTGTATCTCTTCTATTTTTGAAAATACAATAAAGTTTCATGACAAAATACAAATTTTCAAGATATTGTTAATGTGCTGATTTTGGTTAAGTACAAAGAGGTGCAGAAATATTCATTTTCCAAAATCTGATTAAATTATCAAACCGCAGAATTTTTAAATTCCTTTTTTGGTTTGACCAAAAACTTTTTGGCACCAACTTGTAAATAATGTAAGATAATTGTATAAATGTACTTTTTTAATAATACTAATAATAATTACCATTACTTCTTTTTTAACACAGGATGTTATGGCACAGAATAAGTTTAATGTATTTCACTGGCATATTGTTGATGATAATTCATTTCCCTATCAGAGTTACACTTTCCCAGACTTAAGCAATAAAGTAAGTAATTTTGATTATTTATAAATACTCATAATTTAGACCAAGTTTTTATTTTTATTTTATACTAATGTCTTTAGGAAAAGCATCAATCCACTTCAACCTGCTTTCTGTATATGTAATAAATGTATGTGTAAAGTAGTTTAATATTATCAGCACAAGAACTAGAATCTGCAAAGTGAGTTCAAATTTCAGCTGGGATTGTTTATAATATGTTAGAACATTTAGAAAAGACATGAATCATTTTCATATAGTTGCAGAAATTCTCTGACAGCCATGACTGGGTTCTCCTGTTTGGGTGGCATAGTGCAGAGTCCTGTTGCCAGACATATGGTCTTCCAGTAGCCACCCACTTGACCCAGGGCAGCACTAACTCCTCAAAGCACTTGATGTAGGACTTTGTGTTGAGTCTGAGTCCCTTGCCAACAAATTCAGGAGTTTTTTTCTTATCAGAACAATCAGAATGAGTTTCCCAAGCTGCCGTACCTTCGTAATCACCTTTAGATTCATCCAACTCATTCCAAATCCTCTGCACTGTCCTCAGATTGACACCCAAACATTCTGAAATGTTCATATTGGAGCTTCTGACACGAATAACAAGCAGTACAGCATGCCATTTCAAAATTTCTGGCAGAATGAATTGCGTTATGGTGCTCTTTTTCTCACAGACAGTACCCAACTAACCATACTATACTGTGCAGTCAACAAAATCAAAAACAATGAACATGCAAGCATGAAATTAAAAATATAAAATGGTGACAATTCACCTATCGCACCCTGTATATTTATCATGTAATATATATATATATATATATATATATATATATATATATATATATATATATATATAAAAAATGTCATGTTATATAATGCCATATATATATATATATATATATATATATATATATATGAATCATGTAATACTTTAATTCTCCATGTATAATATGTCTTCCTCCATAATATGCCCCCCTAAAATTGTGCTGAAAGTGTGGGAAAATGCTTCTACTCATGCATAATACCCCTTGTTTGATAATCAAACCCTATAAACTGTACCTCTCCAGCTTCATTACACCCATCTTTTTCTACTCTTGAAAGCTGTAATTGAAGATATTTATCAAAATTTTTGATCATTATGATTTTAAAAGGAAACAAAAATACCTATATTCTGTGTACTGTACAGACTCGTTAACCTGTTTTTGTTCGATAAAATGTGCAATCTACTAGATCTGTATGTAGTTTTTCCCAAAATTGGTTTCAAACATAGAATAATATTCTAATTTTGTATTATGATAATTCTTATTTTATTTTACATTTGTAAATATTGTTAGATACAGGTGATTGTATTTGACATCTTTATGGGGGTTGCATAGCCGAATGTTAGTGTCAGATTGTCATATCTTTGTGGTGAGTAGTCATTTCGCAACTGAAATCAATCTATGAAATTGCAATTTTTTGAAGATTTTTTTTGTAGTTGTGCATAATACACACCCCTAATTTTGATTATTATTTTTTAGAAAAATTTTTTTACTCAGACACAAAGAAAAGAAAAAAGGAAGAGAGGTAAAAGAGAAAAAGGAAAAAAAAATAATATTAAAAGGGGAAAGAAAAAGGGAGAGAAGGACAGATTTCAATATAAAGTTTTAAGGGAAAGAGTAAGATAGATAGATATAGGGAGAGGAGAAGTAAAGAGAGGAAAGAAAGGAAAGAAAGGAGTTAAGGTGGTCAACAGGGTGATCCAGAAAATATTTTTTTCTGGGACTTGACAAGTTAAAAATTAAGGTCAGGGAAAGGAGTGATCACATTCAAACACTCATCATCACATTATAACCATTGTAATTGCAAACTGATAATAATAATAATAATAATAATATTAATATTATTAAAATATAAATATAAAGAAATAACATCAATTTAAAAAAAAAAGAAATTTTTTAAAAAAATTTGAAAATAAAAAAAAACACCAAAAATTTTGATTAAATTAATAAAGAGATAAAGGACTATTTTAAGTAATTAAAAACTTAAAAATGCAAAGACTGATATATATATATATATATATATATATATATATATATATATATATATACATCCATACATAAACAACATATAACTGAAGAACAGCTCAGGAATTATGCCCACATAATTTTATGTCATTATTAATTGAATACCAAGGCATATTAGTTTTTGAAAATTACAAAATTTAAAGTTTTCAGCAAAGGATTTTATTTACAATTTATGATGCTAAACTGGACCCTTATTTTATATACATTTTCTCTCTCTTTCACATGTGTGTTTGTGCCTGCTGTGCCCTTTCAGTGGGGAGGGGGGAGTGATCATAATTCTCCACATCTTCTGGTTTTTTGTTATTCTCATTAATCCTTGCCCTTTTACTACCTCTCTTTGTAATTCTTATTCATCCATCTATTTGCACAAACCTATCATGTAGGTTACATGCTGTTTCCCTTTGCTTCTCTTGCCTTCAATATACCCTGTGAGTGTTAAATTCTCCAAACCTTCATTCCTCATTATGTATCTCAATAATTTCAGCTGTCCACTTATCGTTAACAATAATTTTTTTGTACTTCTTTCAAACTTTATTTGTTATATTTTCTTTCCATGATATTCTTCATATCAGTAGAACCACATTTCTGTTGCTTCATGTATTTTCTTCACTTTACTAAATCTCTGATTACTCATACTGGATATCATCTTGTTTCTAGTTTGTTGTTTTTAATTTTTTATAACCCTTTTCCAGGGTGCATACAATCCAGTAACCCATGTCTACACCCAGGATGATGTTAGAGAAATCATTGAAGTTGCTCGCCTGTTGGGTATTAGAGTTATGCCAGAATTTGATTCACCAGGCAAGTTACAAATTGTACTTGTTTCATTACTTATTTTCACAGTAATTATTTTTGTATGTTCAAATAGAAGAGACTTATTTCTGTGAACCAATATCTGCCAAATTTATTTTCTGTGTTATTCCACCTTCTCTGTTTTTGTTTTTCTGTTTTTGCCTCATAAAAACACTGTCCAAACAAATATTTTCTCAACTGGTAGATCTTTCTTTCTTGTTACATTTTCTGCAGGACATACTCAATCCTGGGGTCATTCACAGAAAGAACTTTTGACCCCATGTTACAGTGGTACTCAACCAAATGGTTATTATGGACCTGTGAATCCTGTCCCAGAATCCACTTATGATTTCATGAAAATTCTTTTCAAAGAAATTGCAGCCGTCTTTCCAGACAAGTATGTTCATGCAGGTGGGGATGAAGTTAGCATGGGATGTTGGTAAGTAGTTTTATTTTATCTACGAATTTACCTAAGTTATCAAAAATAATGGCATATTTTTGTTAAATCCTTGACTATTGTTAATTTTTCACATGTTAGTGTTAAAATAGTTTTTCAATTATTGTATTAAAATGTAGCAATTTTGATGGGAGACTATTTTATTACTTTTTTTTTTAATCAAAATTACCCCATGCAAGGCAGTAAAGCCACTATGACACATGGGCTTACTGGGTGTGAAAGAATTAGAAAACAGAAACATTATGAAAGAACAAGAACACTAAAAGAGTAATCAAGAAGACAGTAGATAATGATTGACATGACATTTAAATTTTTGAAGATACCATAGCAAAGAGCCTATCTGAACAATTGCCATGAAAGTATTTATAGAAAAGACACCAGGAAGCAACTTTATGGTGATGGGAAAGTAACTTATGCCAAGACACCAGGTCAGGGCCAATAATATTGCTGATTCTTCTTTTGATTTTATCAAGAATCTTTAAATATATAACAGGAGTAATGGACCATATATGGCAGCAATAGTCTAAGCATGAGTGAATTATAGATAAGTAAATTAAATTCTGTAGAGAAAAATTGTCTTGCACGACACAGTGAACCAACTTTCTTAGCAGCTGACCTAGCAACGGATTCAATGTAGTTTTTCCACTTCACATCAACTAAGAACGTTAACCTGAGAATGTGTAACAAGTGATTTTCCTGGAGGTTAGCATCAGCCATGCTGATAGAAAGCAGAAATGGTTTAATCAAGAGCAGTTTTGTTTTAGAGACATTAAAATTAACAACCCATTCTTTGCCCCCAATTAACAGACTGTAGGTCGTTTGTGAGATCAGCTGCTAATTTGACCTTATCAAACTGATCAGACTTAGTTTCAAAATAGGATTAAATGATTGTGTCACCAACATAGATACCAAGTTTACTCATGCCATCATTTTTGACAGTATTTATGAAATTGATATTTTCTTATGTACTTACTATTATTAGTTTTTCACAGGTGAGTCTTTAAGTATATAATTTGTCAGTGCAATAAAGATAACTAGTACAGCAAAAAGTTAGATATTACAAATAAACACACACATAGCATATTTTATAATAAGTTGTATATTATGACTGTGATTGATTTGGTTTTGTCAAGGTTGACTATGGTAGTTAAAGCTTTTTGCTGCTGCTGCCAATTATGGGAGTAACAAAGATGAAGATATTAATTTAAATAGATTAAGATAACTTTTATAAGTATTGATAACTGAAAAGCAGAACAGCTGAAACCTGTTCAAAACAAGTAAATCCACAAATCGTGATTTTTAATAGATGTTAGTCATATTTCTATCACAGAAATGGTTTTACAAAATTTGAGCAATTAAATTAAAAACATTTGGCAAAATAATTTTCCTTGTTGTGAATTTTCTACTTCCATTATTTTTATGACATTGACTTAACCTTTTGAACCCTGAGACCTGACCATTAAATGTCACTATTTTGGAACTGCCAATGTAACAGAACAAATCTGTAGTAAATAGCAGCAAAATGGGTCACATAAATAACTTAGTTCTATTTACATGTTAGCCGGTGTAATTCTCTTCAGACACTGGAGTATGTACTAATAAATTGGTACTGTGGGTTGAATGCATCAGTTTCAATTTTGTTACATAAATGTTTACATATTAACATCTCTCATCTCAGTTCTGTTCCTCTTTGTGTACACTTCAAATAAGATGTACAAGTTGGTTTTGTCCCAGAAATATCAATTTTCTATTAATCTATACTTATAATGTACATTATTAAAAACTTTTTGGAAACATTTTCTTATGATTTTATTTAGTTTAATAATAAAATTGATTCTTGTACAGATTATTCTGTAGATTGTTAATTAATTAAAAAAATGTACATTATACAAAAAATGGTAAAATAGAACCATATACTTGTAAATGATACAATTTAAAGGAATTGGATAAATAGCTAAAAACAGTACAAATTTGAAATATGGCATCTAGGGAAGTTCACATATTATTCTGAAGTAAGAACTGTAGTAATAACAATAAGAGGAACAACTTAAATCAATGGGTTGACACACTAAGCTGTTAATGCTATCTCAAAGATGATACCAACAAACTATAAAATTTTATATATATATATATATATATATATATATATATATATAAAATATATAATTGGTATATACGGAATGAATTCCAATAACCAACAATTACTATTCTTAAAAGAGTGCTCAATACAAAGTAGAGCAGATATAATTATTATTTATAAAAAAATTATAACATAAATATGTTATAAAATCACTACAAAAATAGCCATTTTGTTTCAATACCCTCGGTATCTTATCAAGTGATGATGTTGAAGATAAAATAAATGGTTTTCAAAGTTTCAAATTAATTAATGATCCTTCACTAGGGGGAAACATTGTTACAAAAGCTAGAATAACCAATCAAAATCCAAGTATAGGAAGATTCAAAAGCTTGACAACAAAATCATATTATAATAGCTATTCAGATCTTTAAAATACGGGCAATATTAAAAAGAATTTATACTAACCAATAATTATAAAATTATATGATAAAATTTAATATTAAAATTAAAAACTGCCAATTTTAAAATCCAAATTTAATCACTATTAAGTTTAAAAACTACAAAATTATTGAGAAAAGAAAAAATACATATGTTATTCAATTTATTTCTTCGTTGAAATTACGTTCAACAAGACGTTACAATATCCGGTCATTTGACAATACATGTATATATATTTTTTTATTCTAAAGTGTGTGAATGTGGTCTTAAACTCATGCGCAAAACAACAAAAACACAATCAGATTATAATACATAAGCACCCAGATATATTTAGATATATATACACAAAAAAAGCGACGAGACAGGAACATCTCCACAGCGCTTTATGAAAAAAAGAAAATGTGGAAACCAACACCTATACACACACACAATTAAATGTGAATGCACTCTACATACACATAAACACCGATAAATACATGTACACACATCCACAGACAATGACCTAGACAATCAGATGACACAACCAATAAATATTTAAGACTTATAGTATCATTAAATAAATGCTAACCACTTATTAAAATATAACTTAAGCGAGCAAATATACAAAGATAAAAATGGTTAAAAATAATATTATTTAATATATTAAAACGAAAATTCCAAAACCACAAATATCAATAAAAATATATTTAATCATATAAGTTGATAATATTTTCATTAGGCGAAGAAAAAGAGAATAAAGAAACCCACAGAAATAAGTGTACTGTCATACATATATACATATATACACACGGCAGCAAACACAAATTAACACACATATACATACATACATACATATATACATACATATACATATATATACATACATATACACACACAGAATTACATACATATAAATATATAAACATATACGCACATATAGATATCTATGATAACAAGTACACATACACGTACATACATATAAACATATATACACACATATATACACACATTTCTATGCACACATACTCACATATATAAATATATGCACCAATATAAATACATGCACCAATACATATATGAACATATATACACACATAGACTAACTACTGTGGCAGTAATGATATACCAAAGTTTCCATACCTACACATACACACAAACAATCTCATATATAATAGGTGTCAACACACACATATACATCCACAAACATACATATATATACATACATACATATCTACATATAAACATATACATAAATATATCTATCTATAATAACAAGTACCAATATATACGTGCATACATATAAATACAACAACATTCAACTAAATACATATATAAACGTACATACATATACATACATAAACATACATCCAAATACCTGCACACACCAATATACATATACTCTAACATAAATATATAAACACATTCATACAAACAGAAATATACGTAAATATAAATTTACATACACATTAAAATAGGATACATACAGATATATACAAATATACACACACATGCACACACACACACAAACACACACACACACACATATATATATATATATATATATATATATATATATATACACACACATACACACACACATACATATATATACAAATGTACAGTGGCACAAAGCCGAAATTAGGGGGCACCCAGTGAGGAAACTTCACTAAAATTAAGGTAGACCGTATTAGGAAAATGATCCATAGGGTATTTAAGGATTTAGGTCTTAGGACAATAGTTACAACTAATGTTAGACAAGTGGATTTTCTAGACGTCACCCTAGACCTTGCTAACAACACTGTCCAACCATATGTGAAGGTTAATTCCAACCCAATATACGTGCATCCAAATTCCAACCATCCCCCTTCAGTTATCAAACACATACCATCTTCCATTGGATTTAGAATTAGCGCTAACTCTTCTAACAAGGATGTTTTTAATAAACATCGTGATTTTTACAATTCTGCACTCAAAAATAGTGGATACAAAAATACCACTATTCAATATATAAACCCTGTTAATTGCAACCATAATAAGAAAAGAAGATCTAGAAAGATCATTTGGTTCACTCCCCCTTTCAATATAATGATTAAAACTAAATTAGGATGTATATTTCTAAACCTCATCAAGAAACATTTCCCCAACCCCGAAACTAACTCACTTAGTAAAATATTTAATCCTAATACCCTTAAATTAAGCTATAGTTGTGCTGATAGCCTGGAGAAGATAATTAAAAAACATAACAACTTAGTCTTTAACAAGTATAGGGATTCAAAAGGCTTGACTACTCAACAGGTTACTAATTGCAATACTAAATATAATAACACAAATAACAACTTATGTAATTGTAGGAATCCGAATAATTGTCCACTATAAAATAACTGTGGGATTACTTCTGTAGACTATTTCAACAATTAAAAATCCAAATATAAAGAAATTTTACATTGGTAGCACCATGAAAACATTCAAGGAACGCTGGCGGGGG